CATTCAACGCAATCCCAATAAAAATGCCATCAACATACCTTATAAATCTAGAGAAATCACTCATAAAATTCATCTGGAACCAGAAGAGACCTAGAATAGCAAAGGCAATTCTAAGCAGCAAAGGCAAGGCAGGAGGCATCACAATCCCTGACTTGAAGTTATACTACAAAGCAACAGTAGTAAAATCAACATGGTACTGGAATCAAAACAGAGACGAAGATCAATGGAATAGATTACAAGATACAACCACAACTACAAACACACTCAACCACCTTATCTTTGATAAAGGAGCCAAGTAGGTTCACTGGAACAACGACAGTCTCTTTAATAAATGGTGCTGGAAAAACTGGCTCTCCATTTGCTGAAAACTAAAGCTAGACCCACGCCTATCACCATGTACTAAATTAAAATCTAAATGGGTCAAAGATCTGAATATTAAAACAGAAACACTAAATCTATTGGAAGACAAATTGGGTAGAAACCTTGAAGACAGGGGTAGGTAGAGAATTCATGAACAGGACTCAAACTGCATGGGAAATACTTCCCAGAATCAATAACTGGGACCACTTCTTATTAAAAAGTTTCTGCATGTCAAAAGAAATCTCCAGCATAGTGAAAAGAAAACCCACAAACTGGGAAAAGATTTTAGTGAACTCCGACTCCGACAAGGGACTCTTGTCTAAAACATAGAAAGAATTGAAAAAACTCAGATCCCCAAAATTCAAAGATCCAATCCAAAAATAGGCATCTGAGGTGAATACGCACTTCTCAGATGAAGAAATACAAATGGCAAATAAATACATGAAAAAATGTTCATCATCATTGGTCATTAGAGAAATGCAAATTAAAACCACACTGAGATTCCATCTTACTCCTGAAAGAATGGCCAGGATCAAGAAAACCAACTACAACAAATGCTGGAGAGGCTGTGGGGAAAAAGGAACTCTCCTACACTGTTGGTGGGAGTGTAGACTGGTACAACCTTTGTGGAGGTCAGTCTGGAGATTTCTCAAAAAGTTGGCATTGGAAGTCCCATTTGTTCCAGCTACTCCACTTCAAGGCATATTCCCAGAAGAATTGAAAGCATCATACCACAGTGGTATATGTGCACCTCTGTTTATAGCAGCACAATTTGTAATCGCCAGATCTTGGAAACAACCCAGGTGTCCATCAACTGAGGAATAGATAAAAAAGTTGTGGTATTTCTATACAATGGAGTATTGCTCAGCTATAAAGAAGGATCACATTGAGATATTTATCAATAAATGGGCGCAGCTTCAGACCATACTCATAAGTGAAATAAATCAATCTCGCATGTGTGAATACTGAATAGTTTCCCTAATGTAAGTAATGATTCAAATATATAAATGTGGTAATCATGATTCCCCATTATGTGGCCTTGAAGTCTTATAAAGTTGTCACTTATTAATTGGAATGGCTTTATTTTGGGCTTCTTGATATGGAAATATTTGAAGCTATAGTATATGAAGTTATATTCAAATATTTCAAGGAAAAAGACAGACACTATGGTAACTACTATTAAGTCGGGTTATTTGGTGGTAAAGCACTAGGTTGCTGAAACAGTCATGCTTTGACCTGTATTATTATGTTGTTATGTCCTCTTTTATCTCAATCTCTCCCTTATTCATTAAAAAAATTATTTAGTTATTTTTTATGGTTTTTTTAATTAAGGGGAAAAATTTAAAAAATTAGCAGGATATATTATAGTAACTTTTTTGATTTCCTATTAACTTGATTTGAAGTCCTGTAATACTCCCACTATCTTGTTTTGACTGATTAGACTCTGTTCCGTTCTCTATGATAGTATCAAGTTTGAGGGTATAGGCAACTACTTTGAAGGCAATAAGATTCACTAAGATGCCCATTCTGGTTTGACTATTATCTCCTTTGGAAGTCCTGTAATGTTTACAATGTTTAAGTTTTATTGGTCTTGTTCTCTACTGTTTTGTTCAACTTTATAATACCTAATAGATAGACAATAATAAGGAAGCAAGAGGCATTATGGTAACCATTGTTGATAACCTTGTACTCTGTTTTTACATCATGTACTATGTCTATCCTTGGTTTTGACTGCCAGCTTTGTTTTGCCATATTTGACTTTATTCTCTTCTAAAAAAAAAAGTAATAAGAACTAAGGAATAATAAAACCCAAAATGTGTAAATTTTATTGTAAAAAAGAGAAGGAAAAAAAGTGCTCTAAAGGATACAATTGCAAGTGTGTTTAGGGGTGTTAAATAGCTGACAATATTAATGTTTTTGGTTGGATCATTGAACACAACTGTTTGCAGTCTCACTGTTTGAATGTCCACTTTGTATGCTTTGATACTGTGACTAGAGCAACTATCTCTAAGATGATAATGTGTAATCTATTAACTGGTGATTTCTTACTTTTTTTTTTTTTTTTTTTTTTTTTTGTAGTTCTGTATTACTTGTACTCTTACACTGCTTTGTTTTGTTTTGTTTTTTCTCTTTTTCCTTTTAAATAAAATTTAAAAAGAAATGCTGGCGAGGTTGCAGGGAAAAGGAACCTTCTCCACAGTTGGGGGGAGTACACACTGATGAACCACTGTGGAAATCAGTGTGGAGATTCCTCAAAAACTAGGACAAGTGGCCCCTCTTGATATCTTTCCAAAAGAATTAAAAGCATCACACCACAGCAATATATGAATTAAAAGCATCATACCACAGCAATATATGCACACCCATGTTTAATTTTTTTTTTTTTTTTTTTTGGTAGGGATTGAACTCTCGACCTCATGTTTGCCAAGCAGGCACTTAGGCTGCTGAGCTAAATCCTTGGCCCCTCACACCCGTTTATAGCAGCACAATTTATAATAGCTAAATCCTGTCAACAGCTCAAATGCCCATCAACTGATGAATATGTGGAGTTTTTTTACACAGTGGAGTACTCAGCCATAAAGAAGGATAAACTTGAGAAATTTATAGCTAAATGGATGAACCTTGAGACCATAGTCTTTAAGTGAAATCAATCAAACACACTTGTAAACAACGCATTGTCTCTCTGGTATGAGAAACTGAAAATATAAATAAGAACCAAAAGGCTTAACAAAAAATATGACATAGAAATTGTTCAAAAGGAAATGGAACTGGGGTGGGGGGAGCAAAGGAAGAGAAGACAAAAAAATGAGAAAAGGAGGATAGAATGGAAACAAAATATGAATAGGGAAAAAGGCACTGAAGGGAAGGGAAGAGAACAGGGGAAAAAGAGGAATCAAGATATATCATATACAGGTACAAATTCCCCATGATGAGTGTGATCATTACATATACCTAAACTGCACCAATATACTTAATTTTTGAAAAATGGATTAAGATGATTTACTTTGGATTACAGATGTCAGCCTATGAGAGCATTTAATTTATCTGCTTTCTACAAGGAAAACTGAAATGCATTTATCTGCAGGACCGCAAAACACCTTTTCCTCTCCAAAACTCATGCTGGAATTTAATCTCCATAGCAAGGTATTAAGAGGGTGGAAACCTAATTTGATTATGGTGTTTAGATGAGATCTTTGGGAGGTGCTATTGCTTGTCTAGATGCTCCTCAAAACCTCATATGCTCACAGGTGGAGGTGGCTGGATTAGGGCATGCTGGATTAGAGGTACCCCATTCTGGGTGCAGGGCAGCACCCAAAAGATGGGTAACCTGAAGGGATAAAGGGATAGAAAGAAGGTAAGTCTGGTGCTATTGCTCGCTGCCTGCCCTGCTGTGGAGCCAGCCAACTATGACTGTGAGCTAAAATAAACCTTCTTCCTTTGACTTTAGGTGTTAGGTATTTTAGAGAAAAGTAACTAAAACAGGAGATAATAGGGTTAGATAAGTAATGAGAGTGGGGCCCCAGGATTAAATATTGGTGGCTTTGTAAGGAAAGGGAGAAAAACACAGGGGACACACACACAGACAGACACACACACAGATACAGACATACACACACAGATACAGACACACACACAGTCTGCCTGATGAGGCCCAGGCTGCCTCAGCACTCCGTCAACAAGGCCATCACCTAGGTGCCCCTTGATCTTGTACTAGAGCCATGAGACAAAATAAACTTGTTTAACTCATACAAACTGCACTATTGTGTGATTAGCAAAAGAAAACAGATGAAGACACACTCCTTGCAAGAAAATCTGAGTCCTCCATGTTCACTGAGCCTCACTTCTTCCTAAGCACACACCCTGGCTGCAGAGGGCTATGATGAGGGCTGAATGAAATACCCACTCCTAGCCTGAGGCAGGCGCTCAGCATCATATCATTGCCTTTACTGTTTCAACGATCAAAGTAACCAGAGTATCATCAAATTAAATCCCTATTCCCATGGCTTCCTCTGGTTAACTGCTGAAATATAGCAGTGACGGGATCAAAACTAAAGACTGACTGCATTAAAACTAAAATCTTTCCAAGACAAGTGCTCAAGCCAGTTTAAACTGCATGCCAGAGTCCATCTTTAGGACCTGATATGAATGGAAGTAGCACTTTTCTTTGCCAAAGTTATACTAACTTACTTGAAGGTCATGTGAATCACACTATCACAGAAACTGAGCCATTGTACATAATGAATCACTTTTGCTCCATTTCATATATTAATGCTAAGCTTAACAGTGTCTCATAGTCTCAAGACTCAGGACCAGCTTCCCTTAAAAAAGAACAGTCTCATATCACACTGTCATGTGGAAGAAAGAAAAAAAGATCAGCTGTTAAATGTATTATCCCATTAAAGCAAGACAACAGTTGGGTGAGCATATTCCTGGGTGATATCCTATACATGTGTGATTAAGAAAAAACAAAATAGAATTACATACCAAATCATTAACTGTAATTCTCTCTCACTGGTGTGATAAGGAATATTTTTTTCTCTAAGTTTCCTGCAGACACTTCTTTTGAACAAGGAAAAAAATCTCTACAGTCAAGTTGTAACAGAGCACATGTACTTGCTAGTGGCTATAGAGAGTCTTACCTTTAATATTTCAGGTTCTTTGATATCCAAAGATCTCATATTCCAGTGTTGCCGATGTTTATGTGACTTGTGATATTTATGAGCACTTGGTGGTGTAAAAAACCAAATCACACAAACTGCAGTCATGAATCCAAGGCCAACTCCCAGAAGGAGTCCGCTCACATAGTGGGGCAGGGGGAGAATGAGGTATGCGTAGACACACATTACAAAGAAGCCCAACGTCTTCACAGGTAATTCTGGGTGCTGCGTGGTCAAGTCCGCCTCCTCTTCACTGTCAAGAATGGTGCCATCCTCTGTGAGCACCTCTGGCTTCAGAGGGACATCGAGGGGCTTATCAAGTCTACCCTCACCCTCTGTTTCCAGGTCAAAGTCTTCTGCGTACAGTTCACAAAACTCTTCATCTTCTTTGCTCACTAAGGCAGACAACGAACATTTCTCTAAGACCAGAGAGCTCGTTTTCAGGCCTAAATCCTTTAGGCTGCTCGCCTGGGAAAGTTTTGGTTCCACCTCTCTCACAGGTTCTTCGGTGGACTTTGAGTGGTCACTCTTGGGGACGTTAGAGTCATTGCTAGGGCCATCCCCCTCAGAGTCACACTCCTCCTCCTTGATGCTATAGTTGTTATTGCTTTCCAGATGCCCGTTCAAGCCAGATAGGTTGGAGAGTTCTGAAGCACTTGAAGATAAGGCTTTGGGCCTATGGCTGACACTTTCTTCCCCTATAATTTTACTAAGAAGCTGAAAAGGCTCATATATGACTTCTGAAAGGCGTCGTTTAGTGTCTTCAATTTTCGCCTCCATTTCGGGCACTTTAAAAAAGGAGCGAGTATCAGAGGGAGAAGTCAGTGGGGAAGAAGGAGCAGTTTTGGAATCTCCACCTGTGTTTCGTGGCTGTGTGAACTGCTTGAACAGGTGCAAATTCAGCTTGGAGTCAGGTGGCTTGTAGGACACGGTGTCAGACTCCTGCCTGGAAGTGTCAGTGGACAGAGACTTGACTAATGTCTTCATCAAGTGTCTGTGCCTTGGTGGGTATAGGGATTCTTTTGGCTCCACCTCAGTTGACAGGGACTTCACCAGGCTCATAAAGGGCTTTGTGCTGGAGAGAGCGGAGGATGAGGCACTGGAGGAGAGGATGGGAGACTTGGAAGGGGAGGACAAAGGGGAAGAGGAACTGGTTTTCTGCTCAGAAAGAGATGACACACTGGGAGAACTGGCTAAGGGCCCCGAAGATGGCGCTGGAGACAGAGCCAATGGCACTGTACTTAATACTTGAGCTGCTGGGGGAGGGGATTCCAACAGCTTTACAGTGTTCTCAGAGACGGGCAAAGTGGCAGGGGCCTGGGATACGGAGAGTCCATCTGCCACGATGGGCGAGGCAGCAGGGCCCACAGGATCATTGCCACCTTGGGGTTCAAGATAGAAGTCCTCCTTGGCTTCAAGCCCTGTTACAATGCTTTGGTCATCCAGTCCCTCCTCAAAGTACTCCCTGAACTCCTCCTCCTCTTCCTCCTCCTCCTCCCCAGATGCTGAGAAGTGAATGGCGATAGTGTCTCGGGACACGGACCTCTGCACGTGCACTTTGGGGGTTGAAGGTTTTGGCATGTCAATGGTTTTCTCGGCATGGCGACCATTCAGACTTGTCATTTCCGGCTTCACAAGGGCTCAGGCTCTGTGAAAATAAGAGAAACGCAAGTCAGAGAGTACTTTCTCCATGGGAGACACTGCCATTTACAAAGTGGAGCCCAGAGTGAAGCTCTGCTTAAATTTGATTAAGCTTTTACTCGGCAGATGCCCCACTTTTTCACTTCAGTAGGTTTAATGGTTTCAATTTCACTACATGAACTCCAGCTAGGCACTCTTTTATGAGCAAGCCACACACCAATGTTATAAATGCCATACAAACTGTCTTTCTTCACAACATTTGAGTAAACATTTCCTCCTTTAATTTTAACTGGCACATTTCTATCAGCGATCTTCTACTGCAAAGCCTGAAGTACCTGAACAATAGATAATACCTAATGTCCAATAGCATAAAATGCAGCATCCTGGTGATTTTAAGGATCTTGAAACAAAAATCTCACAGGTGATCTTCTGGCTATGCAAAGCTAACTCAGAAGGAGTTACAGCTGCCACCGCGATTTTCAAAGCAATTTTAAAAATTTAGCTTTCTTTTCCCACCAGCACTCATACTATCTTACTACTGCAAGTAAATAACAAAGCATCCAAGTGTGGAACTCTGTAAACTAACTGCCATAACCTGTTGACTTCTTTATTCTCCAAATGATAAGTGCCATAAGGTCTGGGTACTTAGGAGGCCATGAAAATATAGCCATGTTATTTTTATTTATTTTTATTTTTCTGAGACAGCGTCTCGCTTTGGAGAGAAGGCTATGAACTCACTTATGTACCCCAAGCAGGCCTCGAACTCATGGTGATCCCTCACCTCAGGCTCCCCAGTGCTGGGGTTACTTACAGGCACGCACCACCATACCCAGCTTTTTGTTTTTTTCTTCTTTTTTGGTAGCACTGAGGACTGAACTCAGCGCCTTCACATCAAACTATTTTTATTTTTATGTTGAGATAGGGTCTCCCCAAGTCACCCAGGCTCAGCTGAAATCTGAGATTCTTCTGCGTCAGCTTCCATGAGGGCTAGAATGACAGGCATAAAACCTGTCATGGTTCTAAGGCTTCAAGATAAAGCAAATGGTGTAATTTACACCAGATCCATTATTTTAACAACAAGAAAATGAAATATCAATGCTGTAGTCTACTATCAGTCAAACTCTAAGCCACGTTCCAACTCTGTGAAGACATGAGAGACATGCTAAGCATGCTGTCTGCCCTTCTGAAGCTTAGTAGTTAGCTGGACAGAAGACAGACACTTGAAACATGGGCAGCAAAAGAGAAGTCACCATGCCCACCTTGTGACATCCAGTATAATAAAGGGCATGCAGATGAGTGTGCACATGGTGTGGTTAGGCACCTAAATCTATGCTTTGCATCCAGGACAAAGGGTGGCTGTCAGAGTACAAGAGAGAGACTGTGGGCAAGTGGGAAGCGGATCTGCCTCGGGACCAGTCCGAGGGCTTCTGGTGCTTGCTCCGTTCTCAGCTGACTCTGGGAGCTTCACAGGTCATGGTATCTCTGGGTCTCCGCATTTTCATGTGGAAAATGAGAGACCCAGGATTCTTTGCAGACCAAAAACTCTACATGTTTATGCTCATAGGTGGTTGTAAGCTAATACCATACGCTGACAAGTAATCTGCCACAGACCATCAAGATTACACTGCTTGAGCTCCCATGTTTGGTGCTTCTGGCAAGTATTTCTGTTAGAAATTCTGGCAATTGATACCACCAGTTAGAGAAAACAAAACACAGTGGAATAGGGGTGGGAAACTCTGAATCTGGATCTTGGAAAGAGGAAATTCTCCAATGAAAATAAAAGTACAGAGCTAAGGCCCAGCCCCAACCAGGGCACACTTAAAATTATACATATTTTTGTATCAAATCCTTGAGAGAAATTATCTTTGTAACAACTTTCCAACAGAACTTTGCATACATTCCATCATGACCATCAGGCTCTCACATGCCTCTTCAGTCCAGGGAAAAGGAATGCCCTCCATTAACCGGACACAGCAATTTAAACCCAGTGACTGGTGGCAGTTAGAAAAACAGTCTCAATTCCAGAGTGATCTTTCCCTGTTATCTTTATGCCAACAGACTTACAGAAAAGCATAATACATCTACTTTTACAAGGGAAATTTGAAAAGAAAATCAGAAGTAATTTAAAAAGAAAGTCTGATGCTTTAATATCATAAAGGATGGTAGGCAAAGCTCTGTTGTTCTGAGACTGCTTCATGAGTAGCAGTGGCTGCCAAGAGAAGGAAACTGTGGGCACAAGTTGAGTACAAAGTGCACAATTTTGAGGCTGAATGACATGAGTCGGTCCACAGAGAAGTAAAGCAACAGCAGGACGGGGCCATCTGTAGTGGGTAGGTGGCCTGGGAATCAAGGGAAAAGTGAGGCCCAGTGTAGGGCCATAGTGTGGAAATGGCAGCGCGACAGGGGCCTGTGTTCTCAGCAGCCAAGCCAGGCACCAGGGAGAAACAGCTGGCAGCCGCTCACAAGGTTGAGCGATTTCTGGGCAGGGGCTAGCAGGACCTATTTGCCCACTCCTACTCCACACAGCCAGTTAAAGAGACCTCTGCGGCTCTCTGCCAATGTCTTGGGGTCTGTGTCAGCTAGCAGGGCCCAAGTTTGGGCCCAGGTGGCCAGAGGGAGCAGGCAGTCTGGCTCGTCACGGTTCCTTTCTTTGTAGGCTTCAAGTAGTAGCTTCATAGATTAAAACTAAACTTCCCCAATACCACCAAAGTGACCAAAGTATGGCTCTACTTCCTTAGGTTTTTACTAAAACAAGTCATATGAGACTAGAACATCATTACTACTCTTTAAATGTAAGACTGGGACTATGTTTGCTCATCTACAAATCCAGGGCACTAGACTACTCAAAGCTGCTTTTAGGACCAAAATCATTGGACGCTTAATGTAACAGAGCTAGAACCCATGGTTTGGGTTCCAGGCAACCCATCAAATGGTACCCTCTTAGGGACAACTCTAAGCCCTTCCTCTCTGTCTTTCCAAAAGCTGGCTGCCCAAGCAAGCAGAACTGACCCTCTCCACAGTCACAACTTTGTAAGACGTCAAGGCCAACAGGATAGCCCTGAAAGACACCTCAGAACATAAGACAGTCTCTTCAAGGGCACAGCCCTGACCAACTGTGGGAAGAGGGTTAGACATGGGCTTCCTAACACTGAGGTCCAGATGCCCTTCCTTTGGCATCTGCTTGCTTCCTTGAACATACTAGACATGTTTTTCATTCCAGCTTTGTCCTGTGGTACCACACTCCGTGCTCAGTCACGGATGGCTCCCCTGTGAGCTAAACCTCGGCTCTCAACCAGCACGTGACCAGTCGCACTGAGAAATGAAAGATGTCATTATCTGACAGTCTAGCACCATAAAAAATGATTTTTCTGTCCTCTACTACCAAACTCGATTATGTAAAGGATTAAAAGAAGAAACAATGTTTTTCAGCCTCCAGGAACAGAAATGTCAATGGAGGAAATTTCCATCCTACCAGGTCTCCCAAAGTCTCCAGCAGAACATAAGACTGTGGAGTCTAACACTGATCTCTGTGTCTTATGAAGGGAGAGTTCAAATCTCACATTGTCACTATGTTCCCTTAGGGATGGTTTCCTGCTATACACATTCTTAAACAAAAGTCTGACATGATCATAGTGTTGATAAGGACTAATCAGGCCCAGAAGAGATGGGGGTGGCGGAGGTAACATGGAAAAACAGGCCAGATGTCTGGGAAGGCAGGCTCCATTATCAGGGCCACCATTCTGCTGAAACAATTAATACAATACATATTTTTAATATCCTCTGAGAAGCTCTGAAACTTTGGCAACTGAACAAGGCAAAATCGGGCCAAAATTAAGGAAATAGAAACCCAGAGAGCTGAGCTGCAGCTCTTAAAGCATTAGCCAGCCGACACTGGCAAACTGGCACTTTTATTTTAATGAGCTCCGGAGCAGAAATCAAAGTCCTAGCCCAGGCCTGCTGAAGGGGAACACTAAGTGGTGACTCTCACACTGAGCAGGCCCTCAAAAGGCTACATTTACTACTTGCTAACAGGCGAACCAGAAGCAAACCAACCCTCACTTAGTACTAGAGGCCTCCTCTGAAAGTCCCCATACTCTCAATCATGAGGCTCCTTCCAGGTGATTCTGGACAAGCAGTACCCCCAGGGGCCTAGCAGAAATACTGAAATCACAAGTCAATTTCCTATGAAAGCAGTTACGCCTGAGGCCTCAAGTTACTCCTACAGATACTTTGTCCACTATGAGGAATGACACTTAATCAAAGGGAGCCAAGCAGATAGAGAAGCAAGACTGAGGGCCTGCAGACATAAAAGATGACAGAAACACAGAGACCTCAGATAACAGAATTATCAGGCCCACACCAAAAAGAGAAGTATACTTCAAGATGAGCTCAAAATACCTGCAGGGACAGCTACAGGCGGGCAGAGGAGTCTGAAGGCTAACCTGGAAGACTAGGATGAGGTAAATGCCTCCACTAAACGGCTGGAAACAAAGAAACAGATGAGAAAGAACTAGAAAAGAAAAGAACACAGGAGAGGGGAAAATAAGAGAAAGAGTTCAAATTGATCCAAGTTCCTAAGAGACAAGAGGTACAGCTTTTGTGAGATAGACAGGAGAGATAAGGGAATGTTAAGGGTACAATAATGCCCTCCCCAGCCTCAGACATCTGCATCTTCGTCCCCCAAACCTGTAAGCACGTTACTTTATACGACAAGAGGAACTCCACAAATATGAAGTATCTCAAGATGGGAAGAGTATTGTAGGTTACCTGGGTGAATCCAAGGTAATCACAAGAGTCCTTAAAAGGGGAGAGGAGAGGGGCTGGGGATTTAGCTCAGCGGCATAAGTGCCTGCCTTGCAAGCAGGCAGTTGTGAGTTTGATCCCCGGTACTGATAAAAAAGGAAAAAGACAAAAAGGGGGGGGGGTGGGGAGAAGGCAGAACACTCAAGGAGCCAGATATGACAGGAAGAAGGGGTTAGAGTAATTCAAGGTGGGGCACTAACTAAG